CCCGCCGCCCCCGCCGCCGCGCCCCACGGCCTGCTTCGCAAGATTCTCTCGGGCGCGGCCTCCGCTAGCGAAGCCGGACACTCCGCGAGGAATTGAGCTGCAGGGGAATCCACTTCCAGCGTAATCCAAGGAATTAATTTGGATTCGAAATGTTGGAGAACTAACAAATCTTCAACTTATCCAAAATTGAACAAAGAAAGATATTTTGTACAACACAAAATGAATTGAAATACATTTACTATATTAAAATTACTAACAACTACCCGGTTAGTGTAAAACGGAAGGAATTTTGTTTACGTTTCCGTCATGCCCTACATACAATATGCCGTCTTGCTAAGCTTCTGATTCGCCCACCAACTCCCCCTCCCCTCATCCCCACCATTTTCCGTTTCCATTCTTCCCCCTACCGTTTGCAATTTCTAGCAATCCCCCCCCCCCAAGAAAAAAACACCGTCTGTGTTCTACTTACCTGCCCCACGAGCACTGCTGTCCAACATCTCGTAATTCCTAGATGGGTTCCTCGTTTATAAAATGAGTAAGTATTGTGGTTTACCTTTGTTTGGTTTCAACTTTAATCGTCCTACTCTTTGAAACATTTCTTTTTTCAATTGGAAATAATCTTACCCGTAATCTTGGCAACGTGACTCTTAAAGTATCAAAATTCTACTTTAAATTGTAGAATGGAATTCTTAAAAACAAAAAATCTGATTCTTGTGCCGATTAGAACAAGAATAACAATATTATTTCTTTGTGGTTCTATTTAGAAGATGATCTATGTCGCTTTGATGAAGTGCAGCATAAATTCACTCCCCCAGGACACACCTTACTTCATTGCGACAGAGATTTTGATATTTTTGAGAAAAAAAGAGGTTTACACTAGCAGTTTACTCTTCAGAGCAGGGAGTGAACATTATCAAGGAAGGGAAACGAAACATATTCATGTAACAAAAATGAAGAGATAAATGTTATTTTATTTCACTCCCTTTGTCTCTTCCCTTATCTTCCGCAAAACATGTATTAACGGAAACAGTGCAAATTGAGAAAGCTACGAACATTGAAATAAGGAAAGACAAACGAGTTTCATTTTCTTTGCTTACTCATGTACTGATTCAATTGAATGGCATGAAGTGAACGTCTCCAAGCGAGGTAAGCGGAATACTCAAAGTTATCTGCGTTTTTCCTTGCCAAGAAAGGAAGCTCTCAGCTGCATAAATGCAAGATTTGAGAAAGCAAGTTCGTACATTGCATGTAAGTTACGGGAGTACCATGAAAGCATCCAAAGTGTAACACCGAGCCCTAAGAAGCTAATATTTCAAGAGAATTAGCATTGTAGTAAACACTTAAAAGAATAAAGTGAAGTAGATGAACCAGATAATGAAGAAAATGAGAATTAAACTTAATAAATTGTAATATATCAGTTTCTTGAACCCAAGTCACTGTATGATGCTAGTGTCTAAATTTATAAAAATTGCTGAGTATACAATATTTCTAAAAACGAACTAATGATGTTTTGTCGACATAAATCTATTATATTTTAACACCTAATAAAAATAAATTGTAATTCAAAATCTGTAAAACATGAATATTATGGTCTGAAAACTTTACACCTCTATATCTCAAAACTTTAAAAATATAACATATCAAGTCCTTGCATGCACTCATTGAACTGCAATCTCCAGAAACCGAACTTTTTAAATTATTGTCTTAAAAGTAAAAATAGCCTCATTCTGAAACCCAAATTCTAGCGTTTCTGATTGTCAATGCTAAGGAATGAGGAAACCTTCCAAACACGGAATCTTACATCCAAAAATGTACAGTTTATAGTATATAACATAAAAATTCAACTCGTGTGCGGAACACGAAAATATGGTGTTAAGGCTCACCGGTGTTGTTGCTGCTTTGCGCGCACGCGTGCGTGTCTTTGCGTGTCTGTGCGTGCGGTGCTGAAGTGCAAAGTGTGTTGCGAGATGCATGTTCGTTCCCTTTCCCAAAATCCGCCGAAATCTACGAACTTCTACGTTTTTCGTCTTTAGTATGTTCCCCTGAGGAATAATTCCCTATTCAAGAGTAGTGTAGTTAAGGGATTTCATGTCGAAGATTTCTTGTAAACGAGAAACATCTTTCTTTAGATTATTGTGCATAGAATACTATAATGCATTTTAAATATACGATGCTATCCAATTACAATTTATTTCAGATTCTGTACCGCTTGTTTGCTGTCACCTCTGTAGAAGTTATTAAATTTATTCTAAGAGCCATGGATTAATATGACACTACATTTTGAAGTTAGAATTAGACAGGTGCGGGAAATAGTTATCTTTTTTTTACCACAATAACAATTAATCAACTGAGGAAGTTTATAAGTAGCTTTTTCTTTAAAAAACTTCTATGGTCAAAAAAGTAGTACACTCACCAAATAAACAAATAATATCAATTTTCGATCATGTTTAGTACTGCCACCCTAAACTAAATGCACTAATGTGTATATAGACTGAATAAAGCTTAGAAAAAGCTTACAACACTAAAGTGTATTGAAATAAATGCAAATGTTTATTGTATACATTCATATACCATAATATAAAACATAATTGATGTCTGTGAACATAAATTATTACTAACTAACAGTAATCTGAAAATGAAGTTCGAATTCATTTTGAAATATTGTCGACATATTCCAGGGAGATAAGTGGTATAAAGGCAACTTTATTTCTTGTAACATCCGTACCAAAATGATCACTATTTTTTGTTAAACAATGCCTTATGATGTTGACTTCTAGCCTTAGCCTTCTTTGTTCTTAATCACTTCAAAAATTCTTGCAGTCTTGAATTACATGAGTTTCTGAATTTTCCAATTGTGATTACCCTCCAACCTACTCAGTACAAATTGTACTTTTTAACTCCAACATAATCACGAATTGTCGTCCATTGCAATATTAGGAGTCCCCATAGATATTCCAATATTCCAGTGGGTAAAAGTCCGCAAATTCAGAACTTGTATTCCCTTCTGCTGCAACCTTTCTCGTAATTTTGTGGACGTGTGAATGGCCACATTATTTCGTTGCAGTACCAGATCGTCATCACATTCTTTGTACATCCGGTTCAACTCTGACTTAAGCAGACTTGTGTACAATTCAAAATTCATTGTGGTGTTCATGCGGACAATGTTTGTCGTACCTCTGACACAGAACACTGCTCAGACCATAACGCTTTCACTCCCAAACTTTCTACTCAACTGTAGCTTCTCTTTACGTAGATCATGCGACTAAAATCGAAAACAAAAATACAGTATTACTAATTTTCATCAATCAAAATCACTCTATTCCGCTCGAATGTAAAATAACAGGACATATGTTTTTTTCTGCAAATGCTGTGCGATCCTTCTCATGGATTTTGCATAGAGGTGGTTTCATGTTGTGATCTCCTGCCAAAATTTGTTTAACGCGCCTGACTGGGAGAGGTAACCTCAAATTCACTAGAAATTGAGAAGCACACATGTTGTTGACCCATGCTTTCAGCAGAATTAATCGATTAGTGGTCCCTGACAGCTTGCCTGTCCGACCATATTTTCCATTTTCTCGATATTTTGCTCCCAGTTTCACAAAATTACTCTTTTCTTCCTCAGGCAGACACTTTCCTCGTGGTATTTTCAAAGTAAATGTGTAAATGTTCTCGCATACAATTCTCAACTGACTATACTGAAGTAAACAAATCTTCAAATCTGCTCTCAGAGACGCCCCATTATACCACTTTCCTCTCTGATCGTGTTTTGTTCCTTTCACTGCATAATACTGCCACCAATCCAAAACTAAAAATGAGGTAAAGGGATTTTCCTAATATTTTCACATAAATTTAAGATGTGAAAAGTAGTAGCACATATTCCAAGCAATAAATACACTTGGTTTTGACAAAAACTTCATATGCCTTTATACTAATGTTCTCCAGAGAAATAAACAATGGTAATAAAATATGTCCTGTATTAATGTTTGTTTGAAGTAATGGAAGAAATTATTAACAATTATAAATAGGGAATTAACAAAATGCTTTAAATGTGTTTTAATTAAATAATTATATATTTTGTAATGTACACAAGATTTAACAGTATATTTCAAATTGGATTGGAATAAATAAATAAATTATACATTTAATGGTTACATTCGTAATAAATTACAAATAAAGTTAGTAAATTAAAATGGAATAAGGTTCTATTACAATAACAATAATATGTTTTAATAAATATACAGACAGGGAGGGCAGCATAAATTAGGTATGAATCATATGAACTGATCAGTGACTATGTGACCAGCTACAAATAACATTTATTCAACAATTTTAAATGCTCATGAGCAGTTTTTAATATTTTTAGTTTATGATTTGTTATTAAAAATATGAAAAATATTATTATGAAAAATGAGTTATGAAAAATATTATACAGACCAAATTAACTTACATCACTAACATCAAAAGCTTATTGAATTATTAGGTAACACTAGGAGGACGGCACCCGTGATTTTGATGGGTCAGCTAATTTGTATCTAAAATTATCAACAATACATGTAGTTCCAAATTCAGCACTATGTGACTTTTAAGATTTAATCATATTCTACACATTAAAAAAGAGAAATAGACATGTACACTCAATTACGACATTTACAAATTTTACTGAAAGGATAAAGACCCGTCATTTTGAATGATCTAACATCTTTGACATCCTCTCAGGGAAAATTATATACACACGAGATTTTAGTACCTATATCAAACTGTAGCTATTGACGAAACATCTTCAAGAAACTTCTAGTGACAGTAAACTTTTATAATGAAACTAAATATTGGTTCACATACTTGAGAAAATGGTGCGCTTGTAAACTGTAAAATTGGGGAGTGAATTTTAGTCACGGAGCGTATTGTTCAGTGTTCTGGATATGTCGGCCATCAATAGATATACAGTGAGGTAACCAGGGAGCAAATATTTCGCCGAGA